GTGTGGAGTAGATCGGGTCCTGATGCAGATTGAAATGCTTTGACAGGACCTTAAGTTTTATATTTACAAAACACTCAGCTGAATTAAAACAATTTTTAAAGGTTGAGAAGTCCAAAAATTAGTCCACTGTGAAGAAACAGACTCACCACCAGTTATCACAGGTACTTAATGGTCGTTTAGCCCTGTCAGTTGACAGGCCATCATCCTTTTTTGCCTAATATTAAATTTTTTTGATTGTTTAAAACAATGAATCAAAAACGCTGATTATATATGAAATTCTAAGAAATCGGTCAACAATTTTTCACTTAAAACACAATACATTTAAACAGTGTAAGTATAAGTACAAAAATCTGTTTCAATCAGGTTTATATTACAAAATAACAGTGGGACATTACAATGATTAAAAATGCCAACTGCCTTCCTGTAAATTAAATAAAACTGTATAGATAAATCACATGCAAGTTAAATTATCGCTATAAAAAATCAGACATTATGGTCTGCTTCTTTTAACTCTTTCTTTAACTCTATTGAATGAAAAACACTGCGTCAACCACAGTAAGAAGGAAGTTATATAGAAAAAATAAGAAAGAAAAGTAAAAAAATAAAAAAATCTATATAAGTTTAAAGCGACAACAAAAACACATTTGGTGTCCCCACATGACCTTCTTCATCCTGCTCTATTGTGTCGATACTAGTAGTCCCACAATGCACCACGACTGTCTTTTTTAATCCGAGGCTTCTGGCAGCGTCTTTCAAAACAAAAGCACAGATAATAACGGTCTGTCACAGTTTGCTGCAGCGATATGCGCTCAATCAGTGATCGATATTGCTCCAGACAAGTCACGGAACAGATTCATCTAAACAGCCGCTAAAAGGAACCAATCGATGCCAGATAAACTCCTGAAGTTGGAACCTCGGGAAAAACACAATAATGTCTAATAAGAGTAATAGTTATTTTATGAACCTTTTGTCATAGTTTTTTTTTTTTTTTTTTTGAGACTTTTCTGAGTTGCTAACTTGATTTGGATTGAAAGGAAACGCAGCTATGCTTAACAACTGGAGCTCATTATGGGAGTATAGTTTGTGCTACAATTTTCTCTTTTTGTTCTAATATTTCAATTGATTTTACCTTCGTTGGAAACAAAGCATAAACAATGTATCAAACAAAAAACATCACTATGAGTGTTAACAGCAAAAGATGAGTTATGGGCTTTGCTGGAGAATTAAGCAACAGGAACTCTGTCCATGGTGCTGAAATGTTGCAACTTCTTGTTTTCCAGGTTTTTCGCTCAAATATCAGCAGAATATGCCCCCTCCATAAATAAATTTTACCACCTATCTTTCTCTTAGAAGACTGTTTCTCAATACGTTATGGAATCAAACAATTTCTCCCGGATTCTATGTTTTTTTTTTTTTTTTTTTTTTTTTTTTTTTTTTTTTACTTATGATTCGGACTAGATCGATCAGCAGGCTTGACTATATAACGAATCTGTTTGCTCAGCCTTATGAAAAAGAACCTTATTGCTCTTTTTTTTTGCATAATGCATGGTCGCGGCGTTTTGCATTTGTATAATTTCTCCCCATCTTTCACCACAATATAGCTACAATTTAACGTGGTGAAATCTGCCTTAATATATTGGTGTCAAGGCACAATTTCTCAATTTCTGATGGAACTACCTCATTTAAGTTAGGTAAACTCATTGAACAAACGATTGTGGTGTCATGAGCTTGCTTTGACAAAACATTTAATAAAGGTAAACCACATTCCATTCCTATTTGAATCTAGCTTATTTTACAAAATATATAAAACAGTTAAACATAAATACACAGAGCGCATCAGAAATTATTTAAACTCTGCACTTCTTGTGTTCAAACTCTGTCAATTGTTTTCATTCAAAAAGTAGCAAACAAAACAAAACAAAACTATATATATATATATATATATATATATATATATATATATATATATATATATATATATATATATATAGTTTTCATTACGATGAACAAATAACATCAACTATGCTCAATAAAACCTTCACTCCCCGGTTTGCGGGATGACCCCATGACCACCAGGGGGCGTCACTGACATTTCCCTGTTCACATTTAGATACACAGCATTGTTCTGCAAAGCCTGCAGGACCTGAACATCTTCCCAGTATGCTATTGTTTGCCATTGCCTGAGAATAACGCCGATGGAAGGAGAAACGTCAGAGAGACGCATCCTAACACCCTTCTGAAGGTTGGATGGAGAAGCGGAGGTTTAAAGGAGTCAGTTTTGTTATGAATTCATCACCCATGCTATAAGAGACAAGTAATAACGCCCACCTCTGTTATTCGACTGAAATATTTTGATTGGATTAACCTTTTACATTTTATTAGACCATCACACTGTGGTCCAGCAATGCAAACCACCGACATTGTACTGCAAAGACAGTAGCTGTAGTAAGGACAGGATATAAAGGGGAATGCAGCTGAAAAAGTTGAGGACAACCGTCCCCTTGAATGTTCACGGTTTTCCTTATTAGTGACATCATTCGAGCTGATAAGAGATAAATATATCCATATTAAGGCAGAAATCTATTAACTGCACATTTTCTCTTATTTTAAACTTTTATGCATTGATATAATACAAAAAAATATTCCAGTAACTCTATAGGCTATGATATTTTTTACACAACGCAGATTTATATGCAGTGAACCGCGCTGCTGTGAGAGTTAAGCCTGTAGATTTATTTTATTTTACAGTGTGATCACTGATTTTTGGCTGTTTGGTTCCTCGGTGGCTCTCAAAGAAATAACACTTGATGCAATAAGACATGTGCTCCAGTTCTGGATGAATCTGCATTGTGGTAAACCTGGTGCTTCGTTTATTAGAGCAAATACACAATCAATGTCGGCAATATAACGCGTGTTAATTAATTTAAACAGTTCAAACTACAAAACTGAAACTTTCAAGACTTAGAACCATCGAATATTTAGATTCAGACTAAAGCACCCATTTTCTGAAATAGGCCTGACGTTTTCTTTCACCGGGGATTTTAAATAAATTAGTCCTAAAGATAAAATAATATATTTCTATTGGTAAAATAAACCAGGAGATAAAAGCCCTCAGGGTGTTGCAGAGGTTATAACTGTCTAAGTGTGAGGGTAGATTTTAAAAGAAGAACGAAATGTAAATACAAACACGTTTGCTGTTGGTACAAGACTGGGTAGTAAGAAAACAAATAAATAAAAACTAAAATAGAAAAAGAGAAATAATAAGAAAAATAATCATATTTTTAAGCTATAATTGTCTGAACCTATCGGAAAAAAAGGGTGTGAAAATGGCTCGCGCTGTGTTAAAGTTAGTCTATAACTGCATATATTCCCTTTCATGCAGTCAGATAGATCAGGTCCGTTAGCTTCATACTTTTTTGCTCTTTTGAATACATTTTTGCAAAAATAATTATTTAGTTTTATTCCCCTTGCATGGAGGAAAATGCAGGTCTTAGGCTGATTGGTGAAGCTATAGGAGTAAGGCGCAAATGAAGTCGTTAATGGTCTAACAGACTAAAAGCTCAGAGCTGCATCAACAAATAGTATTATTACAGTTTTTATAAAATACTGAGAAAGAATGTCTTTATGCAACAAGGTTTCAGTTTCAGTCAAACACGCGTTAAAATCAGTAGCCTAACAGACACAACCTGTAGTCTGCGCAAGGAAACAGCTGCGCTTCTGAATTTTTGTAAATGAAAATATTCACAGAAACACAGAAAATAGAAGATTTCAATCTGCTGTTGATAATAACATCACAACAGGCACAAAAAATACAGTACTGTAGTCACATACAAATAAAGTGGCTTAAATCTTTGTTTTATTTTGTTTTGTTTTTTACTTGCTAAAATGTTAGTAAAAGTTTTTGATTTCATTTTAAAGAAAGTTAGCTGCGTACAGTAAACAGTCTGTTATAAGAAGACAATAATTAAACCCTTCAATGTGACAAATGAGTTCACAGTGAGGCAGCCACGCACACATACAAACCGGAGAAGTTGTGTTTTCCATGTTCCAGACTGTCCTCTCTGCAGTCTTTTCTTTGGAGAGGAACCCGCGGACGCTTCCCTGCAACAGCGTCGGGGGGCCCCTTTTGTCCCGGCTGGGACCCCAGACCCCATCATTAGCACTGATTACCGCTGACCAGTTTGACAACCTTATTGACTGCTAGAAAGACTTTTTCATCAACTCTCCCTGTCCCTCTTTCCCTCAATAGAAACGGAAATATTTAGCTGTTTTGTCCCAGAGTTTGAAAGAAAAGCAGATAAAAAACCTTTTATTTTCCTCAGCTTAGTTCCTCTACAGATATGTGCTTCTTTTTTATTGAAAGAAGCAGACTAGGAGCAAAACAAACAATAAAAGTTTACATTTCTTCCAATTTATACATCTTTGTCAGCTTTCACGTTAAAATACCAAAATGCTTTTTAAAAAAACATTACCTTAAAACCTGGACAAAACCAAATAAAAACTGCAAATATGTGCGCATCAGCAATACTTAAGTGAAGTGTTACCGAAATGATCATTAGAGCTGCTGCAGCCTTGTTCGCGTTAATTAAAAGATTGGTTGCGGTTTGATTGCTCTGTCTTGGGAAAATAGACACTTGCATGTTTTAAGGAGGCAGAATCTAGTTGTTTATGTGCATGTGCAGAGCATCAACCCAGGTTTGCAATCTGCTGCATTTTTGATCTCTGTGATCTCTCCCGCGGATCATCCGGGTTAGTGAGCCGGCCTCTCGGTGACCTCTCCCTGTCACCCTGCATTACGGGACTCAGAGCATGTTGGCCAATTAGACCAAGCTCTGAAACGTGTCAATGAACGCAGCACCGTGGCGTTAGAACCCATCCAAAATGCTTCTCCAAACCACAACAGCCCAGAGGATCCTTCACTAACATTTCAATGTTAGAAATAAGCTACTTATTTATAAGAAACCTACTCAAAGAAGAGTCTAAATTTAAATCTTTCTTGGTCAACAGTTGTTTTATTAAGTTATCTTTTCCTTTTTTTTTTTTTACTGAAACACAAAGTCACTAAAGCGCGCATGCTCAACAGGTTCACCTGTGTACAAGGTATGTATTAAAAACACCAAGCAAATGAATATGAAATTCCAAGAGACAATAGAGCAGATCATTTTAAATAAGCAAATAAACATTATTTATAAAACTTTAAAGTAAAAATATCACAGTTCTTCTTTTCAACATGAAATACCCACAGAGAACAGCAGGTCAGACCAGTTTGGACACCTCATCCTTTTTTTCTTCCCTTTCTTTTTGTATATACGTCTGCACTTTTTTTTAAGGTTTCGTCTTCAAGCGTTACTAGTCCATAAAATGTCCGTTGTCAGTTTTCCACGCATGGATCAAACGCAAATAAAAGTAGGCTATGGGTCTGAAAGGGCACCCACTGATCGCGGGTTGCATCAACTTTTGGCAGCCGTCAGAAATCAGTGTGGGTATTTATGTGTGTGTTTTTAACTCGACGCAGGCACTGTTACTTGTTTTATTAGATTGTCTTTTTCCCCTTCTATTGGTCAGTTCGCTCTGGTGCGTCCGTCAGATGTCACATTCACTGTCGCTGGAGGTGATGGAGATGGCCGAGGCGGCCGCTTTGCTGGACAGGCTGGCCTCCGGACTGGAGGAGTTCCCCAGGCGGTCCACCGTGCCGTCCTCGTCCACCAAGGAGCGAACCGAGCCGCCGGACAGAACCTGCTGCTGTAGCCTGGTGAGGAAGGAGACAGAGAAAGGCGATCAGGAAGGCTTCAAAAGGCTGCCATCATTTTTAGCATATCCAATGAATATAACATCATTTTTCAAGGATATTTTCCAAAACAAAACATAAATAATTCTTTTTTTTCTTCTTTTGTTGTTTTAGTTAATTGAACAACTAAATTAACTACCCATAATTTCAGACGTGCACAGTTAAAAAAAAGCTAATTTGATGAAAACACACAAACATAAGAGCAACCATCAGATTTAATACAACTATTTGCACAATTTAAATATATTTATATATTCTGATATTGTGTATCAGGATTTCAAAATCAATTATTGTGATTAGATGTTTGATTTTTAATAATCAAATGTTATGTTTCTTTTTGGCAAAATATATATAATATATATAAATATATATAGTATAAAATGTCTTGCTGTTGCTCTTTCGGACGCTGACTTATCCATCAAAATATTTACACAGAAACAGTCAGTGATGCTATTTTTGCATTCTTGATAGACGAAGTAACCCACAATATATCTAGAATATTCAGATAGCATCTCAGATAAGTAAGACTCTTCTTACATTATAAAGCATTTTATAAGCGACTAAATACAAAACAAGATTAGTAGTAAAATTCAGGATCTAATAAGTCAATCTATGGAAAAGCTGGATGGATCTAGTTTGCCCCTTATCGCTAACTGACCAGTTTATGCTCCATGTAGATTTTTTCTATCCATTGTTGTCTAATTTTTACATGGAGAAACATGTGCAGGATGCTCCAGCTCACCTGTTCTTTGCAGCCGCCGCTCTGTCTCTTTGTCTCCGGTTTTTAAACCAGTTTCCCACTTGTGTGGGTGTGAGTCCAGTAGCTTGTGCAAGCTCCCTCTTTTTACTGGGATTCGGGTAAGGATCTTGCAAATACCACTCTCTTAACAAGTGCCGTGTTCTCTCCTTGAAGCAGTGGGTCTTCTGCTCTCCATCCCAAATGGTTCTGGGCAGGGGGAACTTCTTCCGCACCCGGTATTTGTCCACGGGCCCCAACGGGCGGCCCCGCAGTTTTTCAGCCTCCTGATAGTGCGCTTCGAGCCACAGCGCCTGCAGCTTCGTGTGCGACTCTTTGGTGAACTTGTGGTTTTCCAGTATGTGGTAGAGTTCACGGAAATTGCCGGTGTGGAAGGCGACCACTGCCCGGGCCCTCAGCACTGTCTCGTTCTTGTTGAGGACCTCGCAGGCCGCCGGTGCCACAGGGAGAGACCAGAGGAAGCGGCCGAGGCGCTCGACGTCCCCGCTTTCCTCCAGAGTCTCGCAGACCCCGGCGACCTGCTGGGGGCTGAAATTCAGGATGGGCAGCTGAAACATGGAGGCTTCTGCTGGGTTTCCACTCTCCCCCTCCTTTCTCCGTTCCTCTCTCTCTTTCTATCTCCTCGGCGCCTTCTCTCCGTGCGCCAAGGCAATCCAAGGCACCAGAAAAAAAATAATAAAAAAATAAAAAAAACCAGAAGAAAAAAAAAAAAAAAAAAAAGCCAAATCCCAAAGTTAGCAGATCAACCTTCTGAGCAGCCGAGGGGAATGCCGCTGAGATGGGAAGATGCTGTGCGGGGCCTCGGCTACCGCATCTTCAGCCGCGGCGAACTTGGCGGGCAGCAACTGGCCGAGGAAGCAGGAACCTTTAAAGCCCGATCGGTGGTGTATTTTTCAAGGTAGCCTGGGACTGAATGCAGAGAAGAATTAAAGCCGGAGCCGAGATGTATTTTTAAGGGAGGGGGGAGAAAAAGCTAGTCAAACCCCCTCCTATGATCTCCTATTGGACTTGGCAGATTGGCTGCACGGTTGCCATGGATACACGTCAATCACTGTCAACTTCGGCCAATCGGGCGGAAACGAGAGCTCAGCGCCTCCCTTTGCAAATACAATATCAACATTTTGACCTTTTTTTTTTTTGCTGCGCGTCCTGAAACGTTTCGATGCCCCCGCTGCGCTTCTCTCCCTGTGCCTTTGTGTCGCAGAAAGTGTGCGCAGTGGATGTGTGCCGTAGTGCCAAAATAGACTCACAGTTAAAGCGGCTTTACGCAGCAAAACGACAAAACCGCGCTGCATACAAACGGCCATGCTGCCCCCAAAGGCTAAATTCAGCAGATAATGTCAGACTGTAGAATCAAACAGACAATATCATGTTTAGCCAGAGCCCCTGGCTGAAGGTGATCAGTGCGCCTTTCTGGGATTTATAATATATAGACCTACAGGTCATTAAGCTTTCCATTCTTAAAAAAATAAATAAATAAAATCTGTTGCTAATGCAATAATATGTGGTAAAATACTTTAATGCATATTCAAAATAATCAAATTAATCCAGATGCCAAGAAGGTTTTACTTAGCCTGCTTTTTACTTTTCACCAACAAAAAATATTTTTATCTTCTCAATACCTACATTTATGTTTTACGATTTGTAAATAAATAAACGCAATTTCATTAGAAGAAAACAGACTTTATGGATACAATTAGTCTTTTCTGGGAGTCCTGAAAGGCGCCTTTTTTCCTTTTCCAGCAATCCTCCATCAGTGTAGACAGCATATCAGCGCGCATGCAGCGTACAGTTTATGATGCTTATAAAACACAACAGAGGAGAAAAATGTGTGCGCGCGTATGTGTGTATAGGATTATGACGGCCCGGCAGGCTCCTCGGGTTTTTTAGTGGGCTATCAGGCTCACTCCGTTTTGTGCGCAGGCTGATTTAGTAAATAAGAGGGCGGATAGATAGCGCAGATGGTTTGAAGTGTCGGGTCAGATTATTTCATGGCTGGATACAGTAGTAAAGTTCATTCTGACGGAAAGGCCTGATATTATTTTCACAGATCCCCCCCCCCTCCCCTTCTGCCCCCTCCACTCCCACGCACATCCTCTCTCACGCGCGCTCTATTTCACTCCCTCTATATCCATCTTTCGTGCCCGCGCACGCGCCATACTCACTCTGATTTCACCCCTACGGGATTTTATTTTTTCATGAACGCATATTGGATGCGAGGTTATGAAATGTTTTTTTTTCCAAAAAAGGCTGTTCATACTTGTTTTCCAAAGATCACATCTTCATCGAAAATAAAATAAAAAGAATAAAAAAAAAAAAAACACGGTTAATAGGCCTACATTTCTTACATTAGGATAATTCACTTCCTTTAATAATTACTTGTTTTTTTTATATATATAAATAAAGGCTTGCACCCCTTTTCAGACGAACCATGCGGGAAATACATTTTAAGGGCAAGTGACAAGGTACCGTCTTGAAATATTTAGCTGTCTGTAAATCTTTAATGTCTGCAAGCATCCAGTCCCAAACTAAATTTACAAGAACTGCGATGCTTATAGAAGAATTATCAATTAAATATGAAAGTGTTTTGAATATCTTAAACGCAAGGTTGCAAATAACAACCATATACCATGTTTTTTTTTAAGTAAAACAACCATGTTGGGGCGGATTTAAACATTTATAAAATAGCAAAAAATGCTCTGCTTATAGGTTCTGCCCTCTCAATGGAAACTTGTGCTTATAATAAATAACACACATAAACTTTATGCAAAGAAAGTCTTTTAAATAACAATTTTAATCAGCAATTCGTTTCAGCCTTTCGTTTGCATATATGTTTCATACAACCTTCAAATTCTGCAAAGATTAATTTGCGATTGAAGTGATGCGAGGCTTGCTTTGTGTGTCCAGGCCTGTGTCATTGTGTCAGCAAGGGATAGGCCTCCTGACACCAATATCTCCGCACATTCAGTGCAGCAACACACTGGATGTCATTCAAAGACGCCAATTTCTTTTCTTTTCTTGGCCGTTTACTCCATGAATCATAGAGACGGTGATGCAGGCTTCAGACAAAACCATGACCTGCTTTCTGCATTGGTTTTAAAATTATGTTTGTGCAATACACTGGTTTCATGTTGATATATATATATAACGAATAGAAGATGAATTGATCATACCAAAGTAATAGAATAGTGAAACAGAAGCTGTTTTTACATGAGCCTCCAAAACAATTTTCATGATTGGTAGAAAGAGAAAATATAAAACCTGACTGACATTCTGAGAAATCAAGCAGTTTAGGGGGGACTAATACCTTTTTTTTAAAGAAGAATCAAATGCAGAAATAAGAACTATTCTTAATGCTTACATTTTTTTATTTTTATTTCAAAGAACATTTGGTAGAATGTTTTTCCAAAGTTTAAGAAGACAAGAAACCCTTGATTTAGGAATTAATGTCATATTAACAAAAAAAAAACAAAAAAACATAAATTTCCAAACAAAACTTGGAGAAAATGGGGCCCCGAACATCCTGCAGGTATTTTACCAACAACAAAACCCCAACTGAATTTACTACAGAAAGTGGAGCAAAAAGGTAAATTTAGCTTTTAGTTTGCATTTCTAAAAACAAATACATAAAAGTCTAATTCTGCAAACAAGTCTGTTTTTAGACAGGAATAAGCTGATTGGCATGGTAACATGATGAGAATACAATCAAAAAATATCTAATTAACGTATGGAGAAAGTTGTAGATTGATCTCAGTCGAATGGGCCCAGACAATATATCCAAATGGTTGTAAGTCATCAAAGCATCTGGGCAGACAGCTTAAAGTGATATACTTTAGAAAAAATATAAGAAATGAATAACAAATGGGCAGAGATAAGATGTCTGGGAATTAATCATCTGAAGGAGATGGGAGTAAAACATCATTCACAGAAAAAAGGTAAAGAAAATGGTTGTGGAGGGATAGAGAGAAGCAGTGATAGATTGTGGATGATCAGATGGAATGGGATTCAAAGATAAATTCTGGAGATGATGCTGGAACCTGTAAAACCTGTAAAACTAAGCGTAAAGTACTTTTCTGGGGGAGACCAAAGTTTCATTAGAAGTTTTTATATGCCAAAGCCAGGTAATTTAAAGATCACATCCTTGAATGTAAATGGCCTAAGAAATCCAATTAAGAGAAGCAAGGTGTTGGGAAAATTAAAAAAGAATAAATCAGAGGTTGTAATGCTTCAGGAGACGCATATGTCTAATAAAGAACATAATAAGCTAAGGAGGTTTGGATATTCAAACTCTTTTTACAGCTCCTGTAAAAATAGCAGAAAAAGGGGAGTGGCTATTCTAATGTCAAACACGCTGAACTTTGACCTAATTAAGGAAGAAGGAGATAAGGAAGGCAGATACATTTTAGTTAAGGGAAGACTTGATAACATATTAATCACATTTGCTTGTGTTTATGTACCCCCGGAATGTGAAAAAAATTTTATTATACAGCTCTTTGAAAAAATTGTCGGATTCAGTGAGGGTATAATAGTCTATGCAGGAGACTGGAATACAGTCTTGGACTACTCCTTAGACACAACAAGCAAAAAACAGCATAAACTGCCTATGTCAAAATGCCTCAATGTTTTACTGAGAGAATATAACCTGTTTGATGTCTGGAGGAATCTCCACCCTTCAGAGAAAGACTTTACCCATTTTTCAGCTACACATCAGATTCATTCTAGAATAGATTATTTCCTGATGAGTGCGGGGGACAGACATAGGGTGATAGAATGTACAATAGGAACCTCTGATGTCTCTGACCATAATGCGGTTTATTTAACTATACACTTAGATAGTGCTCGTAAAAACACACTGTGGAGAATGAATATTGGGATTTTGAATAACAAAACAACTATGGATGAAATTAAAGGGGAAATTAGAAATTGTATTAAAGATAATATAAATAGTGAGGTTGACCCAACAATATTATGGGACACAGTTAAAGCCACTATGAGAGGGAACTTGATTTCACGGATGGCATACATAACTAAGGCAAAGAGATTAAAATATGAAAAACTACAGGAAGAACTGAAAAAGTTAGAAAAACAACAACAAACAGCTAATAATATGAGGCTAACAGAACAATTGAAGGATGTCAGAAAACAAATAGATGCAACACTGTCAGATGAATTAGAAAGGAAACTTAGATATGCTAAACAAACCACTTATGAATCAGGTCCGAAAGCAACAAAGATTCTAGCAAGACGCCTGAAAATACAACAAACTAAAAATTGTATATCGAAGATTAGGGACCCACTGAGTAAAGATTTGACTTTTAAACCTGAAGAAATAGAAAACTGCTTCAAAAAATACTATATGACACTATACTCTAATCCAGACCCTGTAGATGAAGTGATGATCAAAAAATATTTATTATCCTTGGATCTTCCCTCCATTGGACAGGTCCAAAATGAGTCTTTGACCACTCCGATTACAAAGGAAGAACTGGATAAAGCCATTAGTAATTTGAAAAATAATAAGTGCCCAGGGAGCAATGGCTTTCCAAATGAGTGGTACAGGGTCTTCAAGGAGGACCTTACGCCCACTCTACTTGAATCTCTGAATTGGACTCTCAAATACGCCAAAGTACCCCCGTCATGGAAAGAAGCAGTGATATCAGTGATACCAAAAGAAGACAAAGATAAAACACTATGCGAATCTTATCGCCCCATCTCCATACTAAATGTAGATTACAAGATATTCACATCAATAATCTCTAAAAGGTTGGAGCATATCCTCCCTGAGCTAATAAATGAAGACCAAACTGGATTCATAAAGGGCAGGCAAACCCAAGATAATATCAGACGCACACTGCATGTCATAGATCAAATACACAAAAAAAAGCTCAGTGCAGTGTTGCTTAGCCTTGATGCAGAGAAGGCGTTTGATAGAGTTAGCTGGCCTTTTCTTTATAAAGTGCTGGAGACATTTGGCTTCAATGATCAAATTATTAGCTGTATTAAAGCTCTTTATGGGGATCCTACAGCCA